AGTACTAGAATGAAAATATCAGCGTGCCTGTGCATACTCCATGAATTTGTCACATGCTATGATCAATTTAAAGAAAAAACCTGTGTTTCTTTCAACAGTTTGCTAGACTATTATTTTTTCAGCTTGTAATGATAGAATCAGTCGATTTAGGACTAACATGAAATCATTTTGGCACAGTTTTATTGAAAAGACGATTTTTCCATTGCTTATGAAGATTGATTTGTGAATAAAACAATTTTTTTCAGGAAATCGAATCTTGCTAACCTCACCCATCCCCCATGCTGAAACATCTATATAAAGGGTGATACACCCATACACACACATACTGAATGACACACCAATCCACCCATACACACACACATACTGAATGACACACCAATCCACCCATACACACACACATACTGAATGACACACCAATCCACCCATACACACACACATACTGAATGACACACCAATCCACCCATACACACACATACTGAATGACACACCAATCCACCCATACACACACACATACTGAATGACACACCAATCCACCCATACACACACACATACTGAATGACACACCAATCCACCCATACACACACACATCTGAATGACACACCAATCCACCCATGGAGACACCCACATACTGAATAACTCACACAATTCATTACATAAGGTGATACTTCTATATATAGGGTGACACAGCCACACAGAAGGGTTACACACCTATAAACACAGATGGACACACCCAAACACCATGGTACCATGACACACCCAGATATATGGTGACACACACAAAGTGATACCCTCCCCCTACACAGCAAGGGGTCTGCCCACCCTGACTTTAGTGGTGATCACCAATTAATTTTCATGAAATAATTAATATTCATGATTGTCATTCAAGTGCAATTTAACTACTTTAGTTTCACTTTTATGTTGATCTTTTCACCACCAGTTTCTTATTTTTATCACAAATTCACAAAATAAACCTGTTTATAGTCTGCAAATTCCTTCCCAAGATTGGGACAAAAATAGCCAAATTGAGTAAAAACTGGAAATTTACTATTTTGTCAGAAATATTGAAGAATACAAGAAAAAAGTATAGAAAAATTTGGTCTGGTGTTGAAAAGGTTAAATATTCCCATGAAAAATTAATCTGTTTTGATCAAGTTCTGTTTGGTATTAAAGTTTCCTTTGTTTGGTAAAGACAATAGTGTGTATAATAAACAATAGAATAGTGATAGTCAGCAACTTTTTATTCTGGTTAGTGCTTGACTCTAGCTACCAGCAACAAGCGATGTGGACAGATCCCTCGCACAGGGGCGATGCATTGAATGACATACCAATACAAAAATGTACACACTCATGGACACGAGTAACACACTCATAGACACGAGTAACACACTCATGAACACGAGTAACACACTCATGAACACGAGTAACACACTCATGGACACGAGTAACACACTCATAGACACGAGTAACACACTCATGAACATGAGTAACACATTCATAGACACGAGTAACACACTCATGGACATGAGTAACACACTCATAGACACAAGTAACACACTCATGGGCATGAGTAACACACTCATGGGCATGAGTAACACACTTATAGACATGAGTAACACACTCACAGACATGAGTAACACACTCACAGACATGAGTAACACACTCGCAGACATGAGTAACACACTCATGAACATGAGTAACACACTCACAGACATGAGTAACACTCACAGACATGGTAACACACTCACAGACATGAGTAACACACTCACAGACATGAGTAGCACACTCACAGACATGAGTAACACACTAATGAACATGAGTAACACACTCACAGACATGAGTAACACACTCACAGACATGAGTAACACACTCATGGACATGAGTAACACACTCATGGACATGAGTAACGCACTCATGGACGTGAGTAACACACTCATGGACATGAGTAACACACTCATGGACATGAGTAACACACTCATGGACATGAGTAACACTCATGGACATGAGTAACACACTCACAGACATGAGTAACTCACTCATGAACATGAGTAACACACTCATGAACATGAGTAACATACTCATGAACATGAGTAACATACTCACAGACATGAGTAACACACTCATGAACATGAGTAACACACAGACATGAGTAACACACTCACAGACATGAGTAACACACTCACAGACATGAGTAGCACA